ATTTTTTTTTTTTTTTTTTTTTTTTGCCCAGCACAAACAGATATTATAGAGCGATACACATACATCATATATGTCTCCATGAACATGTACCATAGACTTAGGATGTTTCTTAAAGACAGATGGGTTGTTCTAGCTAAAGCTGCCATTGCAAGCTGCGTTACCCCATGAAATTACCATTGGTAAGACAGAATGTCTCAGTGATACAATCCGTACTGGCTCAGGAACACTGGCCATATTTCTGGACTCCACAGCCAACACGTGGGTCTCATCATCAGCATCTTCACCCAGGATCACCTTGTGTGGTAAGAAACAAAAAATAGTCAGTGGCCCTTTCTAAGTATTTCCATAGAAACATTTACAGACCTTCATAGAGGGCTGAGCACAAGGCTTCACAAACCTTTTTGAACACTTGTGTCTACCATTCTCTGTAGTATGTAGAACGGGGAGTATTTGGAAAAACAGAAGTGTTGTTTAAGGCATTGTGGCCCTCCAAACATTGCTGGACTATAGCTCCCACCATTTTTGGCATTGGCTATGCTGGCTGGGGAAGGTAGGAATTGGTGTCTAAGAAAATCTAGAAGAACACAGGTTCCCCAACATTAGTTTATAAAAAGGAATGCTCTTCAGGAAAATATTTGCAGAATTATGTCTGGTGGTTGCAACAATCATGAAAACTTACTGTTCTCAAATATACTAGGTGTTCTAATAAGTCATCTTCTTCTTTCACTACACATCTTGGGGTGGTGTCATTCAATTCACAGCCTATACAGAAATATCAACAAACCAGGCAGTGGTCTCAATCATTTTTGATCAGTTAATTCCATGAGGAGCATGCTTGTAAAAAGAAAATAGAAAGGATAACATTTGCCAGAAGATACCTGCATGTTTTCCTGGGTTTTTCATTAAATCTGATGGGTCCTCCCCCCCAAAAAGGAAGAGAACGAAATTCATGAAATCCTTCTTTTTGAGAGATGGGGTTCTGCCACTCATTTTAGTTAAAGGTGACTGAGGTCAGTAATTGTACAATCTCTCTCTTGTACAATGTTCTGTCGCCTTCCAGACTTCTTACACTTCAATAAGTTCCCAAAGGGAGATATGAGACGCTATGAAATTATTCGATCTACTTTGTCCCTTCTTTTAGCCCCCCACAAAAAGCGGGGGGAGAAATTGCATCCATCAGCATTTGGTTGCTGAGGTACCCTCGGATGCACAAATTGGATACTAGCGGGGAAGGGATTTGACCATCCTAATCTAAGTGCTTAGCTACCGATACTCTTGATTCATCAGGTTAAAAAAAGAAAAGCCACCAAGATTTAATAATATGTTCATTTTACTAGCCCCCAACACATCTTACCCCAAAAGAGAGAGATAGGATTTCTTTCAGTAGAAGTTGAACTTGAGGGAAGTGAGTTCATCTTCTTTAGGTGGATCTGGAATAAGAGGGTCCAACAATGTCAAGGAGGAGGAGATCTGAAAATATTGGAATATGATGAGTCTTCCCCAATATATAACCCTTCAGATATGTTGAGTACAACTTCCAGAACTCCCAGAGAATTCAAGCAATTGTAGTTCCAACATATCTGGAGGGAAACAGGTTGGTTAATGTTATCAACCTTTGCCCCGCTTATTCCTCAAGCTCTTTTGTAGAAACAATAGTGTGTGCAGAGATTTGAAGACTTAGAATGAAGGGCCTCTTCAAACTGCTTTGATGTTTGAGCAAAGCAGGTCCTAGGCATGCTCAAAAGCCCTAAAAGGCTGATTGAGGCCAATTGGCCCTACCCCAAGGCACCAGGAAGAGAGAGGGCCTCATCAGAGCAACATCACTTCGCATATCTGTAACACATATTTTCAATGCGTTATGCAGATTCATTCCATGCTCAGGGCTGCTTAGTCTCCTTGCAAGAGAATAGCTGCATTACAATACCAGCTTCCTAGCTGCACTGCCAGATAAGGATTCAAGTCCACTTTACAAAGGGTGCTGAGCCCCCTGGTGATCAATTGATGCCATTGCTGGGCACTTACCATGGCATTTCCTCCTGCTGCTGTAGCTTCAGTTTTAGGCTAATAGGAAACCTCTATTTGCAAGCAGCAAGTATTGCTACAAAAGTGGACACTTTTCACCAGATGGTTTCTGCAGCCGCTGGAGAGAATGCCCAGCTCATCTGCCTCCCACTGGGGGTAGAGAGCATGGCTGTATAAAGGGGTTATCGTACAGAACTGTCTTGGCAGGAGATATGCCGCCAAGGGAAGGCAAACAAGTGTTTTTGCTATTTACTTTGTTTGGTTTTGTGGTGTGAAGTTGAGTGCTGATTCTCCCAGTTACTGGCTAAAAGCTACACAATGATTGCTTGACCAGCAACTGGCAAGTCATAATTGTGAGTCTACAGCACTGGCTGAGAACTGGCTGCTAAAGATCCAAGCAAGCGATTGCTCCATTTCCTTTGTGAAATTGGAAGGCTTGGGTGAGGGAAAGGCTGGTCATCTGTAAGCAATGAGCCATGGTTCAGTTAGCCTGGTTCATAAATCAGCCATTCTTAGATGTATTCATACACCTTGTATTAAACCAGAAACTATTATCTGCAACCACAATCGGTGGATTCAGGCGTGTGTGAAACAAGCACTACAAATCTCTCTCTGGGTTAATCAGAAGTAAAGTTTTATTGGAAACGTTTGCAGAGGCTGGTGGACTTCGTTGCAAATAAGAAGCCACACTTCTTACAGATTTCAGCACATTTTATACAACCCTAGGCCGACGCTCAAACTTCCCCATTTCCCGAGGTACTCTGAGGTCACAATCTTTTCCGCCCGCCTATGATTTCTTCCTGGTCCCTCCCACTTCATACATCGCATGTTCTTGGAAAATAGGTGATTAGCTATGCAGGGTGTGGTTCTTATTAGGCTAATAAGGGTTGGGGGCAAGAGTTCATGCATTCCTATAAGATCTCTGCTAAGTACCACTTTGGACAGGTCAAAACCACTCCAGACTGGTTTTATCACACCTTGACCCATCCCAGAGATATCTCCCCTCCTCATTTCCTGTGCCTCTTGGGGCCGTTTGGAGGCCTCTTGGTAACCATGGGATGTCTCCTTATCTCTCCCTAGTTTGAGGTAGAGCGTTTGGCAACTAGGTACTTAGTATTGCAGCTGCACTCTTAACATGCTCAAGTTACTATTTCTGTGTCAATAATAACAGATATTTTATCCATCTCTCACAGACGGTTTCTAAGCCAGAACCACATAATATCAGTATGAAACCAGACTCACTCCCTACCGCTTGGAACTTAGATGTTTGCTTGCTTAATTTATAAGGGGACATTATCATCAGAGGAGTAGGAACTGAATGCTTGTAAAGTATTTTAATAAGCAAGTGCGTATAGTTAGGATCACAAATGCTTAGCTCAGTTAGTTGATTAGTGGCTGCATTCAGACAAAATACTGAATTTCTCTCGTTTTAACCTTGGTTTTCGGGGGGACAAAGTTGTGCACAGCCAATCCATTTCATTGATTTAGGAATCAGTTTATTGGCTGTTCACATTATGTGGTTAAACTTGGTATTGAATTAACCCACTTTATGGGTTCTCATAATACCTTGAACTGTAAGGCAATCAGATGACTGAGTACTCAGGACATGTTAAGACACACAAAATTAGCACTAATCCAGTTTAACATATGGTCCAAATACAACCTACTGAATCCAATTTTGCCAAATATTATGTGACACCCCCCCCCCTTGATTCAGTAATGGGCTAATTGAGTAATCCAGTTAAATGCATTGCAGTAATCCTATCAGTGAGTAGCAATGCCAAGAACAGAGTGTCTTAAAGTGACCAGATATATACTTAATATTCTACTAGAAACCAATACATTGAAATAGAAGAGGCTATCATAGTTACCAGAAATGGAGGTTTCACCTTATATTTTTAGTAGCACTCAAATTTTACAGCTACAGTTACTTTCTAAACTGTTTTTCAAAGGAGGAAAAAATTATTCCTTAAAGGAGAATGCACCAAAAGTGCAAAAAAATAAAAAAAATAAAAAAAAATAAGACCCATCATGTTCTGTATTTTGCATGACAACCCATGACTAACCAAATCAAGGCTTATTCAACTCCTTTTTTTAGATTCACACAACACACTGGACTATGAACTAACTGTGCAAACTGGGTTCATCCAACATACACTAATTGAAAATGTTCAGTATGGATTCAGAAGTATGTCATGAACAGAGTTGAGGCAAAACAAGATACCATAAAAAGTTACTGAAGGTCCAGGCAGGTAGTCCAGAAAAATAAGCCACTTCAAGATTTTTAAACCAAAACAAGTATGAGTTTAAGATATTCATTGCATGTGTGCTCTCACTCCAATCTTAACATACACAGGCCATAAATTGCCAAATAAATAAGATCACAAATATAATCATAGTTCTTCACTGAATTATGCATTTAATAGATTCCTTGAATTATTTAATGGAATAATCTCTTTGGAAGAGATTCAGATGTATCAAATCTAAAACAGAGCTACAACAAACCCCCCCCCCCCCCACACCTTTTCTTAACACACATACAAATCACCCCACCACACACCAACCACCCCCTCAAAAAAAAAAACAGCTCCTACAACAACAAAAATATA